AATTCTGTGATAGGATCGGATGATGGATGCTTTTTCTCTACTGTTAAGTGGTCTGTACCGCCTTTGCATGAAACAATCAGGTCATTTAGATCGAAACAGAGTGTCAATATAGGTGCCAGTTGCCTAAGAAGCCTGTATCTAGATTACTGCTCTATATCATAAGCCAGCCTTGTGGTAGACCCTACTTGGGTATAAGTATATCTCGCTTTGTAGTTCATGATCACATGCTACAAACTTTGCTGAAAGCTAAGATATTATCTTTTCATGTAATTTATCCAGATATCGATATATTCGAACACGTTTATACATAGCAAATGTCAAGGGTTGAACTAGTTCATGATACATACATCCTCATATTGTAGTCGTCACTATAAATTGAACTTTGGATGTGTTGGTTCACGAGGCGCTTTGCGTATGCAGTTTTACCCCTACACATGTATGCCATCCCCCCCCAAAAAATAATTACTCATATTCTCGAAGGAGTTAAGTGTACCATGAGAGCCGGGAATATTCCTCAACTTTGACCATAACTTGAAATATGAATTACATCACGTCAATAATATTTACCAGCTACATGTCTGTCCGCTTATCGATATAGCATAAGTATGTGTGGTTTATTCTCACAAATGGATTTTCTTCACCACTTCCGGATCGCTTCTACTACGTGCAATTGTATCGTTTGTAACCTCCAGTGTACCTACTCCACACCGACAGTCCGTCAATGTCACCATTCCAGATCATGTCTTTACGTTTTCAATGGATGCCGTGCCGTATCTGGAGCCCTGCTTCGCCACTCTAAGGCATCGGAGCGAACACAAGGCGTTTGACAGTTATCCTGACGCCCAGGCGGTTGCTTATCAAATCCGAGGTATTGACATCACGGCCTGATTGATATTAGAATTAGATTCGTTGTTCGTGTGGTTCTCTTTTCCAAAGTACTGTGGGCTCGGAAGTTCTACGACACTGGCCTTCACCAAATACCACGGTATTTCCGTTTCATATCACTGAGTCGTTTTAGTTAATGAGTTTGGACATTTTTTTTTATGTTGCTCGTGGCCAGAGAGCGAATACATGCGGATACTGGCGACAGAGGGGGGTCACGGATACAATGATCTGGGGCTTTATTCCTCGGAAATGATAAACGTATGTTTTTTTATCGAGGAAACCCCGAATCACGGGCTAGATTCTATTGCATGTGATTCGATGGCACTCAGTAGGGAACTCGAGGCAGATTATTGTACAATTACTGAAACTGAGGAAGTATACTCAGCGTGCAGCTATTTTCAATAGAAACAACACTGCGACTAAACCACTGCAACAACACTGCGAATGCTTAGCTATTGCGCAGAATCTTCATTCACATGATTCCAATATTGTTGCGTGAAGTATATAACCAATCCTCTATTAGATGACATGGATTGTGAATCACGATTGGTGTAAATATTTTGTGCTGTCAGGCTCGCGTGCAAGGACGTTAGTGCGTAAATGCCCGAGTGTTTCTGGGTGTGAGTGTCAAACGAACTGCCAAAATTTGTCCAATTCTGGGTTAAGCCACTGTTTATTTTTGGTGTATTTTTGATCGATTGTAAGTATGTACCTGATACGGGGTAGTCACCATGCATTACCATGCAGAACAAATTGTAGTGTGGAGAGCTCGCCTTGCATACTCTGTGTTGGTTTTTATGCAGAAAAGGAAACGAGTGGACAGAAGGGGTAGGGAAACCCATTTCTCGCAGATAGTTTCATATATATGTCCCAAATAATATTCCTTCTGATTACGAAGAAAACTGGGAGTACAAAATTGAGTGATCCAAGGGTTTCTACAATGTATATTTAATTAATAATGGCATATTTGATCGTTGTGCAGGTATCTGCTTTTGATGGAACGCAGATCAAAGGGTTTGCACTCCTCGGTGGCTACTGTCGGACGTCTGTCGATATATCAATGAAGAATAAGCCTAGTAAACGCTACCGAGATATAGTAATAGAGGGCGCAAAGAAGAGTGGATTACGCCCCGAGTATATTAAGGTTGGTTTGCGAGCCGCATGTTATGTATTTCAAGCAAGGTATTTACTCAGGAAATGCGTGATTCCGTATTTTGTTCACCCCAACCTCAAGTGATGTATTCAAACGCGACTTCGTTTTTACCTCTCGCTCGCTCAGTTTTTGGAACAATTCGATGCGTACTCACCGCCTCAAGATCGCTGGGGCCGACTCGCCAAATACCTGGTGCTATTGCTGGTCCTACCTAGTCTATTATGTAAGCCGGGACAATGATCCACTCCGTTTCGCATTTATATATCTTCGCTGTTGTGTAGTACAAGTAATTGTCCGTCAATTGTCATCTAGACCTTCTGGGATCTATCCTCGGAGCTACTGCAAGTGTCAGTATAAGCTGTTCCATGCAGACACATAGTAGCAACCAGGTGACGACGCTGTAGTAGACTCGCATTGAGCTTTGCTACTATTTGCGTTTGGATGGTGCCGTGAGAAGTGTCACATTCTCCACAGTCGATTTTCAGTCTGATGCCAAGTGCTACACCTACGTATTCATCGACTCACAAGCACACCAGGCCTACATACATGCACACGGTGTAGATATTCCGAATGTAATTCACAACTTGGCACTTTTTCGATCACACATATGCAAAATATAGATGTAAACATGTTAATATACGTGTGAAAATATAGATGTAAACATGTTTATATACGTGTGACTGAATCCATACGGCATTGTACTGTTAGAATTTTATGTGTGTGTGTTTATATATGTGCACATCCCTTGCTTGGTATTCTCTTCGATAATTTCATTTTTTTTTTCTGTACTACAGTTTTAAATGCCGAAATCTTTGAGTCTTATCATGTGAGATTGTACGTTGTCGTGTACATACCATCCCATATGCATATGTGAAGACACCCAGTCCTCTTCATTCACGTGTGAATACTCTCGAGACCTACACAACACACCGAATAAGGAACTTGAGCGAAGGCTTGTTTTCTTCTCACTTTTGTTCTGTTCGACCACAAACTTATCCGCCTATCTTTTTTTTTTTCACAGCAATGTTAGTAGGCGTGCCTTTCTTATTATCGCTCGGGTTCGAGAGACCTCCATATTACTACGCGTGGGCGATGAGCAACTACAGTAGACTTGTATTAGGTTTCGCATATCCCGCGTTACTTATGGCTTTTGGGCCCGGAATGTACTAGGACGAGAAAAATTTAAGATAAATTCAATTAGGCCATTTAATACCACGCTTGTGGGGGAGAAGCCTGTCTGTGTTTACCGTTTTGGATGTTGCTAACTGTCATGCGCAACCGCACGCGATCGCGCAATATTACACTTCTGTAAAAAACCCCTTTACGCTGCGACTTTGTTATCTACCCGAAAGATGATATAGTCCACTCACTCGATAGTTGATAGAGAACGAATCTGTATGAAGAATATCGTGCGATAGTGATGGTTGTCACAGCCAAAGAACTTCGACCTACTCACCTAAGGTAATTTTGAGTCGTTTACATCCAGTCCCATAGCTTCACAACTGTTTATGTTTAAAAGGAGATGGTATTATTGTTTATTGGATAGCCGTGTGCGCTGATAACGCGGCACTTTAATTATTCGAATAAGCGGAAAATTCGTACCAAATTCATCATACGCCCGCAGCTTCTAAGTGATTACCATCTTCTTTTTCGAGACTATCACCATTCGTGCTAGCAAACCGCTCAATTGTACAAACGAGGTCAGCCCTTCGACTACTCTCATGTGTGTTGTGGCGATATTACGAATAAACTCCAGTTTTAAAAACTCAGGGATGTCAAGTGTTTTCGTCACCCTGCGATGGTGAATACAAAATGAGTTAGCTACGGATAAAATCAAGCAAGACCCAAATGTATGTCCATTTACGTTAGACACACTGAGTTCCCAAAAGCATACAGCATTATTTTGAGACTAACTCTATGAGCCTACGTCCGGGAGCAGACATAACGAGCCTGATGGTCTATACTTCCAAAATAAGAGCAAGGCCATGGTGGATCTGATCTGGAGAACTAACTGAATACTATTTCCCAAAAAAAAATTGCGATATACATCTATTCGCATTTATAGCTTACGTTGCTGGCAAAATGATACATGCATGCGTACAAACACAATGAGGTCATCGCCTCTCAACATTTACTGTTCACGCGCAACTTACGGCCGGCAATATAAGTTTGCAATATGCGTCACATAGTAGCGAAGGTGTGTGATTTGCGACTTTATATCTATCTATCTATCTATCTATATATATATATATATATACATGCATATACTCATGTATATATATATATATTTTATATATATATATATATGTCACTTTCGCCACAAGGCTGCATTCCGATCAAACAGAATTTACGGAGCGGTCGAAGGCAGCCATGGATCCAATAGACAAACGAGCAAGCGCGTGGAATTATACACAATAGCACATCAGGTTGATATACAATTATGTAGATTGATAAAAGCCATGGGGTGCAATATTGAACAGATACAAACCTGAAAATTGTAGTCACAATGTCTATGGCAGCATATCCCATATCCCATAATGCGGTCAAGGCATCAACGGCCGCGTCCAGCTCGCCAACAGCACAGTTCTGGTGCGGGTCAGACATCGACTTAGGTTAATCAAGTACAATTATCTACAAGCATACTACAAACGGACTTTGTTTTGCGGAGAAATCTGTTACAGTGAGCATTAAAACTAACAGCACTGCGTAAAGATCGTACGATCCTACTATGGACTGACATTTGATTCATAACTGTGCTATTTCTCACGGTGGAAAATAAAACAGCTGTGAAGACAACCAACACCTATGCTACAGATTAAAAACCAATGATAAGGTTATACTGATAGTTATTGCGACAAATCCGATTTAAATGAGCAGCTACGTTAGGCTTATCGCATCAATCACGGGCTGGGAATTGAGAGACAGCACCAAACATATCGAGCATGACAACTGCAGAGACCGCGAGCATTGATATCTATCGCACATGAATTCTACCGACTATTGTGTTTCCACTTGTCACAGTGTCAGTGTGCACATGCAACGACATTGCCCAGTGATATTTAAGAAACCTTTCCACAACATACGTTTCAGGATCACAGTGCACGCACGTGTGACCAACTACCATGCAACTTCTACGGAGCCAAAGTAATTCGTGCCAGTGCTTGACGATATGCAGGTGTACGTATAGAACAGTATCGGTGCGCGCATAGTACGAGAGGGAGTGGATAGCAAATAAGTCTAATGCAATAGCGTCCACAAGCGTTAATCCTGAATCCACGATTCTTATGTGACCACAAGACCCATCTACGGACGAAGGAGCACACAGTAGTTGTATACACACCTTTATCATTTCTGCTATCATCAACGGGTGGGGTTGATCGCACACTTTGAACACGTTGTCCGGCGTTATGGTTTTAAACCCAGAGTATGTGGATTGCAGGTTATTCAACCCTTGTCGCATATCTCCGCCAGCCGTGAATACAATAGCCTCCAGACCTTCAGGTGTATATGGTACGTTCTCAATCTCGCAGATCTGTACAAACAGCAACGAGCAACACACAGCTACTTACTACGTACGGCATATGTGGTTGGACTATGATACTAAAGAAAACTTGTACTCTTATGACCAGTAGGCCACATCGATATTCCCCTCAGCGACATACAGAATAGGCTCACTCCATCATACACGTTCTTCAAACATGTTGCCATGGTAACATTTGCACTGATCTACTCGGCTTCGCCTCCGCACATAGCACGCACAACACACACACACACTGTTGCACTCTACATAGTCATACCCAAGAGTTCCTAAACGGGACAACATATCAGAAAGTACTACTGTCTTGCGAGAGGTATGCGCATCCCAGAACGGGAGCAACAGCCCACTTTGCGTGCAGTATAAACTCCACCACTGGTGTAGACAGGCAGACCACAAAGCGTGTACGCTAATGAATACGTTCCGCTCATCTAGGACTAGCGGAAACTGCCAAGTCATAAACAACCTTACGTATCAGTCATAAACAGCCTTCCGTATCAGTCATAAACAACCTTCCGTATCAGTCATAAACAACCTTCCGTATCAGTCATAAACAACCTTCCGTGTCAATCATAAATAACCTTCCGTATCAGTCATAAACAATCTTCCGTATCAATCATAAATAACCTTCCGTATCAGTCATAAACAACCTTCCGTATCAGTCATAAACAACCTTCCGTATCAGTCATAAACAACCTTACGTATCAGTCATAAACAGCCTTCCGTATCAGTCATAAACAACCTTCCGTATCAGTCATAAACAACCTTCCGTATCAATCATAAAAAACCTTCCGTATCAGTCATAAACAACCTTCCGTATCATATGCGATGCACTCTTGCACTCAGGCCCGCCTTGTATTGGACTTTGAGAACATGAATTGGGAAACACCTACTCGTTTTTTTTGCTCGCACATGTTTTAAAAAAAATATACCAAACAGGCCGACCAGTATCACCGAGTGTAGCAAAGGCATATGCGAGATACTCTGTGAAATGGTTATACACCGCTTAACCACAGCTACGAATGCATTCGAAGTAGATCCATGGCTATATATATATAAATCATCAGGTCATTCTGGGATATGCATACGTATCTATGGGTAGGTTGTAACTAGGTTTCAAAATAAAGTATAGGAATTATATGGAGTACACAGATGGAAGACCACTGTATTGGACAATTGCACTACACAAATCGGCCCTACCTGCATAATTCGAGACAGGACTTGTTTGTCCGATAACCTTGAGTATCGCAATATGGCGCATCGGGACTGCGTAGAGGGGTTATAGAGACACTCAAACATTAGTTCCATTGCAGAATTTGGTTACCTGACAGAGAACATACGTCTCGATTACCGGACGAAGTGTACTGGCAGCAGCGGAGTAAATATAAAAGTGGCTTTTACACTTGCGGTCGTACGGGGACAGATCCCACACCCCCGATCTTTCTTCACGCTATATGTTCAATTCTTGGTGAATCAGCGGAAAATGCCCTAGACCAAAAGTTCAGGACCGGAGTTTGTATCCAGACCACTCGGCAAGTACCGATGAATAAATAAACAGTGTTCTAACCACTGCACACACCTGGATGGGTTCAATAATCTTGTCGGACTGATTGCAGGCCAGGGCAAAGCGGGTTGTGTTGGAGTAGATCTCCATGGTGCGGCGCAGCGCTTGCTGTGCACCCTCCGTCATGCTATCGGCCTCGTCAAGGATGATCACTTTGTGTCGGCCAGCGGGCAAGTTTACCTACCGAAAAGGGGGGGGGGGTGGCGAAGTGAACCTGAGTTGAACGGAAACACACGAGCTGGATAACGCCATATAGTACCGCCGTACAACGTAGCGTGACAATATCCGTAATTTGGAATAATGGGTCGGGGTTTCCTCATTTCTTTTTATCCCTTTATACAGCAAGCGAATTTCAGGGCCAGTGGTCGGGTATACATTGGCTGGCCTGATTTTCGGAGAACGATGTGTGGACTGAACGACAAGGACACATTCGCTCCTTTCACTTCCGAAATATATGCAATACTCGATTTAAGTGCTGGGGTCACATTTATGCGATGGAAATCTTTGTACGAACCCAAATTTGACCTAACGCATCATTTAGTAGTATTTGTTACGATACAAATTTACGACTATTCAGCTTCAACTGCTACCAAGTTCTAGTCAATTATAATAACATTTAGAATACCGAAGCAAACTGACCAGAATCGAATAATTCGATGGCCACTTGTGCAGATATTTGGCTCGCACAGGAAATAGATAAAAAATCCACTCAACTCCCAAGTATATCAAAAAAAGTATAGATTAAGCATACATGCTACACAAAAACACGATAAACACCAACCACACAGACAAACTCATCCGCTCACCTTCTTTTGTGCGAACATTTTTATCCGATTACGGACAGTGTCGATACCACGGTCGTCGGAGGCGTTGAGCTCTAAGACTGCATCCTTTGCATGTGCACCCAGCAACTGTCTGGCCAAGCACATGATGCTGGTTGTCTTTCCGGTACCAGGAGGTCCCTGAGGTGTATGCAAGTGGCATTGGATAAGAGGTGTAAGTTAATGCGCTTATACACAACTGGTAGTAGACTACATGGTAGATTATAGGCCCCAGTGACAGGGATACAAATGTGATAGAACCAACAAGCGTGAGAAATGTTCTGGCGATAGCAGCCAATGGGTCTGGTAACTACCTGGCTAAGCACGTGGTGTGGGGTATTTCTCCGTTACCGTCAGAGGTCGCTGGAGTGTGCGCATGGTACATAAAACAAGTAATCGAATACAAGGGTGACAGAGCGTGCCCCCAGGCAAAAACTAATTCGTAGGTGGGGTGACCAAAGGTGTGTGTGGGACATTATCAAAGACACGGATCAGGCCCACCAACTGCCTGGCCACGCACACTATTCTATTTATAGAACTTCCGTACCGGGGAAAGTCCGCTGGTGTGCGCAGAGTGTGCGGAGATGACTCGCCTACACGAGGGGGTGAATGCATGTGCGGGATAGTCTATGCATCTGAATGAGATCCAGTGGTGCAATAAGACGCAAAGTGAATCTGTGGCATTTCTCAAACCAATCAAATCACTGCGTAGAATACATGCGGAGGATGTGTAACAGTATGGCCTGTGCGTTTGTGTAGGCGAACGCTGAGAAGTACGGGAGCGATTGACTCACCAGGCGCCTTGTTTTACCTGTGCTAGTACGTCCTAGATACCTCGCATGATTTGGGTTGTGCCACACTGCAGCGCCAATCACTCGGTTCAATCATACATGCAAACCCCAAATACAACCGAGTACATATGACCCTTCTACCAGTCCGATCAAACTGTGGTGTGTCGCGTTTGCATGGCAAACAGGCACACATAAGTATCACATGAGCACATATGAATAGTACTATATATATGTTTCTAACTCAGGCACATCATCTCAAGTATTCAAAGGTGTGTAATGTTCGTAGTAACCGAGGCTCCACACTAGAACATACCGCCAGAATAATATTGGGAACGTTTCCGTGCTGCGCGATCACTTGCAACCGGCTGACCGTCTCTTCGTTACCCACAATGTCCGTCAAAACCAGTGGTCTGTGTTTTTCAACCCTACAGACGAGTCGGCGGAGGTATAATTGAGACAAAGTATTTCTATGGCACCAGGATACTGTCGCAGAACATACACACGTGTCATACATATATAGAGAGTATGTACCCCATGAAACGTTTATGTGGGCATTTATTGAATTCGTTCATAGAGTTCAGCTTTCCCCCGAGGTAGTGGGTGTTACAACTAGACATGATAGCACGAAGTAACACACCACACCACTCCTCGATGAGAGCGTTAACACATCAATCAGACAGGGTACCAGAAACTTAGACAATCGAAGCAACACAGACGTACCTCTGGCGATGCGAGTGGGAAGGTGCAAGCAGAATACTCACAGCTTAATTACCCTCCACTCCACATACAGATTCAATTCAACTCGACAATTCAAGGCACACCACATACCACGGAAGTGTGTGGCTGCTGGACTCCTTCTTGGTGGATTTCGAGCTACTGCCCGCGATAATCGACTTGACCTGTTTGACACCGGACAGGACAAGACAAGTATTCGAGTGATTTGAAGACATAAGCGAACCGATATATATAT